CCCCTCTCCGGAGTCAGGGTGCGGAGCCAGAGCGAATCGCTCTCCTCCAGCTCTTCCGCGGGACCCTCGTGCTTCCCGGATCAGCACACCCACTCCGCGCTGCCCCACCGCTGGTACGTCAGCGATTGTAGCGATGACTCCATTAGCGAGGGCTCTGCCTGCCTGGTTAGCGCGGGCCAGCCCCTCGCGGTGGCTCATACGCACAATCAGACTCGGTTACGCGATTCAGTTCGCGAAACGGCCCCCCAAGTTTACGGGCGTGTATTTCTCCAGGGTCAACCCCCTGTCCGCCCCTGTCTTGCGAGAGGAGATTGCTGCCCTCCTGGCGAAGGGTGCAATCGAGCCGGTTCCTCCAGCCGAGATGGAGAGTGGGTTTTACAGCCCATACTTCATCGTACCCAAAAAGAGCGGTGGGTCACGGCCAATCCTAGATCTGCGCGTTTTGAACCGCTGTCTGCACAAGCTGCCGTTCAGAATGCTCACGCAGAGGCGCATTCTCCAATGCGTTCGTCCTCGGGATTGGTTTGCAGCCATAGACCTGAAGGACGCGTATTTCCATGTCTCCATTCTTCCACGCCACCGCCAATTTCTGCGGTTTGCGTTCGAGGGTCGAGCGTGGCAGTACAAGGTCCTCCCCTTCGGGCTCTCTCTGTCTCCGCGGGTCTTCACCAAACTCGCGGAGGGTGCCCTAGCGCCCCTTCGGCTCGCGGGCATTCGCATACTCAATTATCTCGACGACTGGCTGATTTTAGCCCACTCACGGGAGCAATTGATTATGCACAGGGACAAGGTGCTTCGGCATCTCCGCCTACTGGGGCTTCAGGTCAACCGAGAAAAGAGCAAACTCGCCCCCGTGCAGAGGATTTCTTTTCTCGGGATGGAGCTGGACTCGATCACCAAGGTAGCGCACCTCTCCGAGGAACGCGCTCGCCTGTTGCTGAACTGTCTGAGGGAGCTCGACAGCAAACTAGTGGTCCCACTGAAGTTCTTTCAGAGGCTCCTGGGGCATATGGCATCCGCAGCCGCCGTCACGCCGCTCGGGTTGCTCCATATGAGACCACTTCAGCACTGGCCCTCAGCCCTTGGAACGACCCCTCGTTCCTACAGGCCGGTGTGCCTCTAGGACAGGCGTCCAGCCATGTTGTTGTTTCAACAGACGCTTCCAAAACGGGTTGGGGGGCCGTGTGTCGCGGGCATGCGGCTGCGGGCCTCTGGAAGGGTGCCCAGCTGCATTGGCATATCAATCGCCTAGAGCTGTTGGCAGTGTTCCTCGCTCTCCACCGCTTTTTACCGGTGCTGGAGCGGCAACACGTGCTGGTCAGGACGGACAGTATGGCGGCGGCGGCGTATATCAACCGCATGGGGGGTATGCGCTCTCGCCGCATGTCTCAGCTCGCCCGCCGTCTGCTCCTCTGGAGTCACCCGCGGCTGAAATCGCTGCGCGCCATTCACGTCCCAGGCACGCTCAATCGTGCAGCCGATGCGCTCTCACGACAGCTGTTACGCCCTGGAGAATGGAGACTCCACCCCGAGTCTGTTCAGCTGATATGGGCGCGATTCGGGGAGGCCCAGATCGATCTGTTTGCTTCCCCCGAGAACGCTCACTGCCAGTTGTTTTTTTCCCTGACCGAGGGCTCTCTCGGCACGGATGCACTGGCCCACAGCTGGCCTCGGGGCATGCGCAAGTATGCGTTTCCCCCAGTGAGCCTGCTCGCGCAGTTTCTGTGCAAGGTCAGGGAGGACGAGGAACAGGTTCTGCTAGTTGCGCCCCTTTGGCCCAACCGGACCTGGATATCAGAGCTCTCACTCCTCGCGACGGCCCTCCCCTGGCGGATCCCTTTGAGAGAGGACCTACTCTCTCAGGGACAGGGCACCATCTGGCACCCTCGCCCCGATCTTTGGAACCTCCACGTGTGGTCCCTAGACGCGAGGAAGACTTAGGTAACCTACCGACTGCGGTGGTTAATACCATCACTCAGGCTAGAGCCCCCTCCACGAGGCGCGCCTACGCCCTGAAGTGGAGTCTATTCACTGAATGGTGCGTCTCTCGCAGAGAAGACCCCCGAAATTGCCAGATTAGTGTTGTGCTCTCTTTCCTTCAAGAGAAGTTGGACAGCAGGCTGTCGCCCTCCACTCTCAAGGTTTACGTGGCCGCCATCTCCGCTTATCATAGCGCGGTAGCTGGCGGCACCGTGGGAAAGCATAACCTGGTCATCCAGTTCCTTAGGGGTGCTAGGCGAATTAATCCATCTCGCCCCCCTCTCATGCCCTCTTGGGATCTCGCCCTCGTTCTCACGAGTCTGCGATCCGATCCCTTTGAGCCACTCGAATCAGTATCTCTAAGATTTCTGTCCCTGAAGACAGCTCTGCTGGTTGCGTTGGCCTCCATCAAGAGGGTCGGGGACCTGGAGGCATTTTCGGTGAGTGACTCGTGCCTGGAATTCGGGCCGGATTACTCTCACGTCATCCTGAGACCCCGCCCCGGTTATGTGCCCAAGGTTCCTACCACCCCCTTTAGAGATCAGGTAGTGAACCTGCAAGCGCTGCCCCCGGAGGAGGCAGACCCAGCCCTTTCTTTAATTTGTCCAGTTCGCGCTCTGCGCATTTATGTGGACCGTACTCAGAATTTTAGATCATCTGAGCAGCTCTTTGTCTGTTATGGCGGTCGGCAGCAGGGAAGTGCCGTATCAAAACAAAGATTATCCCACTGGATTGTGGATGCCATTTCACTCGCTTATTCGAGTCGAGGTCAGCCGTGTCCCCCGGGAGTTCGTGCACACTCCACTCGGAGCGTTGCATCCTCTTGGGGCGTGCACGCGGCGCCTCTCTAACAGACATCTGTAGAGCTGCGGGCTGGGCGACACCCAACACATTTGCAAGGTTTTACAATCTGCGAGTGGAGCCGGTTTCCTCAAGGGTATTAGGTAACCCTTTGGTGATTGAGGAGACAACTCGGTAGGGTGTTGAAACACGCTTGCGGCGCCATTCTCCCTAACACGGAGGTACGTGCGCCTTTTTTATCTGTCAGTAAAGTTCCCCGTCAGGTGAGCCCTGCAGATTCCTCCGTGGCCCCCAGCACTGACTCAGCGGAGGAGTCACTTGCTGGCCCACTACGTTGTAGGTCTGCCCGCTGGTCAGCCCGCGTTTTGGGTATAGGTGCCTGCTATGCGTGATCCCCACTAGGTGATCCCATATGCTTATTCCGCCACGGTTAAGTCCCCCCCCTGGGTGGACCCGTGTCTTCCCTCTCCGCTAACCACTCTTTTGCTATGCGTACTCCCCCTTTTTAGGGCTAGTCCATAGGTAAATTCTGCCATCTATCCCCCCCTTGGGTAACGGATGGCCTCCGCAGCGTCCTCCCTATCGGGATTGCACGCTTTCCAACGTACTGTCGTATTTCCTAGAATTATCTAGATGCTCACGACTTCCCAAAAAATATATCTAAATCCGTAAAACTTCTGTTGAAGTAGGATAAATTAGGGCCAGGGACACGTTGGAGAACCGCGCCCCCCATGATGTGGGTGCGTCACGCTTGCTTGACTATCTCCTCATCGGGGGTGTTGGTAAGGTGCAGTCATTATGGCGCTTTCCATATTCTCCCATTCATGGCACTGAAGTTCCCCAACCGAAGGGGAACGTTCGAGGTTACAGAAGTAACCCTTCGTTCCCCGAGGAGGGGAACGGAAGTGCCATATTCCGTCGCCATAATGACTGTCCCTTAGCTGTTTGAAAGTCTCTTCAGCTTAAAAGGATGGCGTCTGCTTGCTTCAGGTGTGCTTATATGCTGAGATAATTGCAGATGTCGCACACCTGCGCAAGCTTACGCTGCCAATTAATTTCATTCATTGGCCCGTTCAATACTCTCCAGATAAGCGGCTTCTGATCCGAATCCTCCCATTCATGGCACTTCCGTTCCCCTCCTCGGGGAACGAAGGGTTACTTCTGTAACCTCGAACGATTTGGGAAGCGGCAAATAAACAAACTTAGTAACGACACAACTTGCGACCTTAGTTGGCTAACAATGGTTTTTGGAAACACACCCCAGAGCGAAAGGTGGCAGTAATGCACCAAAAAGTTTGTTGTTGACCACCGAAAAACAGGTAGAAGAACAAATCGTCATTCTCGCCCTCATATGGCTTTATTCTCATCAGCTATACACCGGCCTCACAATTCTGTGAATGTGAGCCATCACTTATTGGTGACCGGTAAATGTAGCTTGTGTGGACGCTACTGTGCTACTTGACTAAAACAAATAGCTTCGCTACTGAAAAGCTATTTGATTTAGGAAGTAGAGACGCTACCACCACACTACTGAGAATGTAGTTATATCAGAATAGCCCCACTTTGATAAATGGCCTTAGCAGAAGGCATTGTGCATGTCAAGAACAGGCAAAGCAACAGATTAATATTATTCAACATATACCATATTTTTAAAGAACATTTTAGATGTAACCCATTTGTAATCTTTAACATTTTCATAAGTAACTGTAATTTAGTTACACATTTTTTTTTCAGTAACTGTAACGAATTACAGTTACATTTATTTTGTATTCTCTAACACTGTATGCAAGTCAATGATTGCAGGTTTTCATCAAAATATCTTCGTTTGTGTTTAAGTTTGGGACAAATGAAGGTAGAGTAAATGAAGACAATTTTCATTTTTGGGATAAAATATCCTTTTAAATTAAAGAGAGAATTTAAGTAATTTAAAAGTTATTATTGTTTATATTATTTTCTACTTTACTTCCAGATTTAGGACATGCACTGTGGAAGTACTCACTGGTTCAATCCCCAAACTGAAATAAGGCAGCATGCACTTAGTTCAGACTTTGCAACAAGAAATGACTCACAAACATCTAAAGCATAATGACCTATTTCTCACAAAAATAGGAAGTCATCGTGGTTCTGTGTAACTTGTTTGATTACAAAATTAGGATTTTAAAGTTTGCATGGATATTCTGGTGCAAAGTCAAAAAAAGCATGTGTGATGCATTGCTCACCTCCTCTGGGAAGGCTGCCCCACAGGCATGGCTTTGTCTTCATAAAAACGCTTCATCGCAAACCTGTCCAATGCCTGGTCAGCACTGTGAATATGAACACAAAACACACTTTGCCAAATACATTATCATTTCTTTTCTGTACTAAATGCAACCAAATATTTCAAATAGATACCTGGCAGATATGTTACTGTAGTGCATATAGGCACCGACCACAACACCAGTTCTCCCCCAGTTTCCCTGCAAGACATTTGGCTCAATTATCAAGGTACTTGATGCATCATCTTTTCCCTCCACCAATTTGAATAAATAACGTTAAATCTCAAAACAAAAAACAATATAATAAATGCAATAATAGAAAATGCTTAGGAAGTGTGGCACATTCTGTATGGGATATGGGGCTACAATTTAAATGGTTAAACAAGACTTGCACATTTTTGTCCTCTGTTGTGGATAACACGCATAAAAGTTCTAGAAAGCAGTTTTCTGAGATCACAAGAATCCTTCAGTATATTCAGCTGTGAGCATATGACTTTAAATAAGAGTTATAAAAATATAAATATGAAATTATAAAACATCACCTTTATTGTAAATTCCTTTCCAATTACAGCATACTAAATAACAACAGCAGATCAGTCCAGAGTCCAGACAGTCATGCAAGGTGAAGGAGGTGGATATTGGGTGAGCAGACCAGACGTGATATGATGATCACCTTGTTGTGAAGTACCACCACATTGTGAGGGTCTGCATTAAGCCAGGTGTCCATGGCTTTACAGATACTGCAGATTTTGTCTAGAGCGGGAGCATGATGATCAGGCCAACCAAAGTCCAGCACCTATCATAAATAAACACATGAATAAAATCAGACCACATGCTGGCAGAAAAGACACCTTATACAGTGTATATATACATAGGTATATATATATATAGTTAGTAAATGTATGTATTAACATCACCGGAGAATAAACAGTACTTGTATAAGATTTAGTAAGTAAGGGATAATGCACATTGCAGAATAAATCTGACAGGCTTATTAGCAGCCTGATGTGATTAAGACTGGACAGCATTATTCTGTAAAAACAACCAACTAGATGTACATTATCCAGATTCAAGAGTTCACACTTAGCTGATGATTGTTAATAAGCTAGTTTACCATGCTGTCCCGGGAGAGAGCCCTGAGCTCATGAGAGCCTCGAGCCCGGGGCTCCCTCCCGTTGCAGGGCGAGAGGGGAGTTTGAGCTCGGGTAGGTCTCGAGAACCCCCCTCACCCCCTCACCCCCTCCTGCTGCGTGAGGGTTGCTAAGGTGATGCGTTGCTGACAGAATTGAATCGAATTTGGTGCTAAATTGGTTTAGTAAATTTACTTAAGTGTCTAGTTTTTGGGAGTGTGGGAGGAAACCGGAGGACATGGGGAAAACCCACGCAAGCACGGGGAGAACATGAACTCCACACGAAAATGCTGACTGTTTGGGTAGATGCCCGAACCGGAGGCATTTTGCTGTGAGGCCGCAGTGCTAGCCACTGGGCCGCTATGCTGCCCTGTAGACAAAAGAAGAGGAGATGGGGTGGAAGGGGGGATTCTTCAAGACGAAGATGACTAAAGGTAAGTTGTTTGGTTATTTATACCTGGTTAGGAATAGTCTGATTGGTGGTTCGTACATTAGCTTGATTCGGGGCCAGCCGAGTCAATCATAAGCACGTGATCCTCTCGAAATTAGTTTATGAATAAACTTCACTTATTACTTAGTTACTTTCCACAAACCTAAATAATTTGACACAAAATTCTGATCAGGGGAGCATTTCCCAAAACCATTGTTAGCCAACAAAGGTTGCAAGTTTCGTCGTTACAAACATAGTTTGTTTATTTGCCTTTTACCAAATCCGTCGCTCCAACGAACATTCGCAAACTGCGTCGCAAACTTGAGGACTCTCTCAACTCTGGAGTTATAGTTAGAAACATAGTTCCTGGCTGTGTACTATTCCCACTTATCCCCCCTTGGTCCTATTCATTTAGAACATTCTAACATTCAAAGTTGGAATTATTAAAAGTAAAAAGGCATTAAGGTCATCTCTCTTAGGTGTAATGTGCTTACAAACTATTTTTACAGTTCAGTTTTAGCTATCTTTACGTTAACAATTGTGCTCCCTTCGCAGTGCACTTTGAAAACATTGATGTCATTTTGAACACAGCCTCATGGCGAAAGCTATAGGTCGACCTATTATTTAAAAGCGGAATTTATGTTACGTCTCTAAAGCTTGTGAAAACAAAAAGCATTTGTTAATTCTTTTCATTTATAGGGGGTTATTTATTAAATATCTGTACTGTATATGACATGGGCCTGCTGGTTAGAACTTTCTGCAGTGGTTTACATGTGTTAAATTGTAAAAGTTGACTTTTCAAAAAAAATTAATTAATAAACAACATACTACTTGATAGTATTATTATTAATGTAGGATTTTTTTTTTCATTTCTAATGAACAATAAAAATTACATTTAATTTTATAATAAATAGCATCATTATTTATCTATTTATATGATTTATATATGATATTAGAATATGTGTTAGCTTTTGTAAGTGATATGCTTTAGAATAGAATTTATAATGTTCAATATTAGTAAGGCAAACATAGGCCCTATGTGCCATTTACATATATTTCAGTTAATATGGAAAGCGTGTATGTGCATGTAAAACAATATAATTAGCCCAAATCAATTATGGTGTTTTCTCTAAAGAAGTAGTTACCCCACCCAGTTTAGAGCGTCATTATGGGCGTTTTTTGTTATAACTAAGGTGGTTCAAACGATTGATCTGCGACAGAGAAATTACAGATTTTGGGAAACACCCGTCACTACATAGTTCTTTTCCCAAATGATGCAAAGTACCATGCTAGTTCAGCCACGTGTTACGTCAATGTTTGGGAAACGCACCCCTGAGCTGTAACAATTTACTAGTCTTTTAATGTAATGGAAAGTTTGCAGAAACAAAAAATGATCTCAACAAACAGTTAGATGCAGTCTATACTGTCCTAGCTAGTTAATGTTAATTTATATATTTAGCAATGCATTTTTAAAACCCAAAATTGTCCTTGTTAATGTTAGTAAAGGCACTGTTCACAAGGACTAACAATGAAAGATGGTATTTACATTCACTAATTTAACAAAGATAAAAAGTGTATTGTTCATTGTTTGTTATTGTTGTTAAATACATTCATGAACATTAATTAACGGAACCTTATTGGAAAGTTTTAACATTTACTTATAAATAAACTCACTCTTGGGTTCTGCTTGGTGATGTCATGCCTCCGTTCACTGAGATTAAGCATCTGAAATTAAAAATAAAAATGTTTAAGCATTAATTTCTCAACGTAAACAGCATTCTGATTCTCCTTCATTTGGTCACTATGAGTTGATGACAGATTGGTGATTCTGCCAAGGAGACCAAAAAGACAAAAGAGAGTTTGTATTAAAAAAGACCAGTGGAAACTTGCAAGTAGAATATGCATACAAGGTCACTCCAATACAAATGGGTAATCAAGTAGCTTATCTGCAGTCAGATTTTTCTTTGTTGCTTTAGAGTAGCTCCTTCTGCAAGAGCATGTCTATGACCATGTTGACATTGAGCTCACTCAGGAATGGAAGGCACCTTTTACTTGCAGAGCCTTGTGCTCCCTCACTCACACTAACCTCGATGAAGTGGTGGCCTCTGGGAATGCTGACAGAGGTGATTGCAGTCAATTTATGTACACAATGCTTTACTGCCTGGAGGAATTCCCCATGTCTCTTGCCCAAAGCATGCAATGCTTACAAGGCTGTTGATCAGGCTGCCATGCATGCCATGGCCACTTACCCAAGCTAGGGCTCTCAAGAACATGCACAAGGATTCCCTAGGGTTTACACAACAATTTGCATTTAGTGATTAAACTAATGGTAGCTAAGGTGGCTCTGAAGTCCACTAGCAAGACAATATTCTCTTCAGGAATGTTGTGTGCAGATATTCACCTCAATGTTTATCCACTGGAGAACAATAAACTTTGCTTTGGCACTTTTTCAGTGGAACATGCACAAATGTTTCAACAATTCTAACACATCATTGACCATTATTCTGTTATCCAATCAGCATTAGACCAAACCCCCATAAATACCAAGGTTGTCCTACATGCATTATCTCATAACTTTAGCATTAAATCCATCACCGCTAAATCACATCTGAGATTATCTCCTTCTGGAGGATGATGCCTTTCTCACAGAGGAGATCTCCTCCAAGATTTCCCTGTCGGCACCCAGAGCACCGCAGCTTTGCTGGGCTCACCAGCACAGTCCACGGCAGCATCTCGAAGCCGCCATTTAGACAGCACTATGGCCACTCGATCAAGACGTTGTAGCTCATCATCTCTATCTCCCAGACAGCAATCTTCTCCAGCGTCTTCATTTGCCTCAGCCTTGTCCTCCTTCCCAATCACGGGAAAAAACACTGTTTCAGATCTCCGCCAAGCATCCCCTTCAGGGTCCCAAGGTTAACATTAGCGTGAGGCAGCCTCTGATATCAACACAAATTTCAACTCCAGTCATTCCCTTTTTTTCCTAGTTTTGGGCTTCAGCTTCAGTGTGATGCCACCTCCGCTGATGTCACTAAAGCTTTGATTTAGACTCAGGTTTGAATTCAGACCTTTTCTAAGTTCTTTTACCCATTTCACTTACATTGGTGGACCGTCTGATAGCTTTTGGCGAACTTTCAATTACACTAAAAAACTTAGCCAATATCCAGTCCTGCATCTTATCATTTTCAAATTTACAATTGCTTTTTCACGATTATCATTATCAATTCTGTCTTTCCCCACAGGAGGTGTGAGCTCAGTGATTATCTCGCGATAATTGCTGAGCTCGCGCTCTCATACAGAGGCTCCCATTTCTACACTTGTCATCGTGTTTTTTCTGCTAAATGCACCATTCTTATTTCACAATGGAATCAGTGTGAAAACAATAGAGTTTTCCTTGGTTGCCGCAATATAACTTATGTGGTCTGCCAATCCATTCACTCGAATCCATTCACTCCTCTCATCCACGAACCAGCCCAGCCAAAATCCACAAGTTACATCCCATACTTTACTACAAACCCAAACACAGCTCCCTTCTGTCCAGGCTGCCGCTCATCTGTCTCATCCTCAGTCACTCCTTGTACCAGCTTAAACACCGACAGGTGCAGTAGATAGAAATGCTGTTTTTTGCACGTCTGCAATTTCTGCAATGGCGCCTATGCCCGCACAATTATGTCCTGTATAAAAATCTGCAAATGAAAATGCCAGAAAGAATCTATTGACTCCTGTGAATGTTTCTTGCCAAAGAATTTAAGTTTTCCAACATCCCGACACCACATTCAATTTTTATATACGAGTCTATCTTTAGGTCTCCATCCAGGCATACAGTACGTATTCTCCCCTCCTTTAGTCTTATTTGTCTAAATGTTCAGTCCGCTTACCCAAACTCGACGTTGTCTACCTTTTAATTAAAAAGGAATTAGATGAAAATTTCATGACTGGCCCCTTCTCCACCCCTCCTTTCAGTGATTTGCCATGTTAGTCCATTCGAGGTAGCTATTAGAAAATTTTCAGAAAAAAAAAACGCCTCTTAATTAACCTTTCCCTCCCACATAACTCTCCATTTCCGAGCAGCAACAGCCTCATCCCACTCGAACAATTATTACTTAACTATCAGGATATCGACCAAGCCATTTTCCGGATAAAAATATCGGGTTGCGGTGCTTGGCTAAAGTTGACATAAAATCAAGTCATGCCCATCCACCCAGATATCTTGCATCTGTTCAGCATTCTTTGACGTGAAAAATATTATTTTTCTGCTCGCCTGACTTTAGGCTGCAGAAGTAGTCAAAAGATTTTCAACATGCTGTCAGAAGCAATCTGCTGGATCTTTTCCAATAACTACAAAATTCCACACATTATCCACCAACTGGATAATTTTTAAATCATCTCACCACCCAACGCTATCCCACCCACACACCTTTTAACAACTTAAAAAGTTTTTGCTTAACTCAGGATTCCCCTTGTCGAAGAAAAAAAAAAAAGCCGGTCCAAGCACTTCAATCGAATTCTTGGACATCAAATTAAACTCCAAAACATTCCAATCGTCACTACCAAAAGAGAAAATTGATTGAACGATCGTGGTAGCTTCCACTTTATTAGACAGCCCCACTTGTTCCAAATGTGAGCTATTATCAATTCTCAGCCATTTGAATTTTGCGATGCACATCACTCTCCAAGGCCACTTGTTTATTTTTCACTTTCTGTTTCTCGCGTCCTCAGTTCACGGTTTGAAAGACCAAATATCCATCAATGATGACAGTTGAAACTAACTCTGTTTATGGATATTATTCCTCAAATAATGCAATGGTCTGTCCTTCTTTTGTTTTGACTCTATATCTCAGTATATCGTTATCCTCAGATATTAAATTATTCACCGACGCCGCCTCGCCAGTTGGATTTGGAGGATATTATGAAGGACGCAGGTTTGCGTCGACTTGGCCCCTCCAGCTGCTAGATTTATGTGTACTGTACCTTTACACATACTATTTAAATCATCATAAATCCAATTTACTTAAAATGATCTCACATCACATAATTATTTCCTATCCACTAATAATGCTCATTCATTTTATTCCAAAGACATTTCTCTTTAGACTTTATGTTGTCTTTTGTCTGGTTTTATCTACTGTAATGTTTTCAATTATCAGTCAAGTCTAAGTTCATGCTGGGTATCTATTACAAAATTTTAAAGTTGTTAGTAGATGACAGGGTATTATGGGGTTTCTGTGGTTTGCATATTACATAACAGATTAGCAACTGAGGGTCACATATTACACAGTAGAGTGCTGTAGCTCTGTAGTCTGCAGTCGTCTCATTTACTAAATTCTGTACATGTGCAAGAAGTGATTCAGGAAAAAGCACACTAGAGAGGCTGCCCAAAGTCTGTGGTAATTCTGTAAATTTTTAACCCTTCCATTGCCTTCACATTTATTCATGTATTACTGGCACTGCTATCTTGCATATTATATCTCCTTGTTTACTGTTCCTTTACGAATCCTGTCTTGTGGACATGATTATACATGTCAGTACTGAGAAATGGTAAGACATGCCTGTCTATCATTATTGATGGTTGTGGAAAATTGCACTGCTATGTTGGGGTGCAGTGGCCCTCAAAATAACTGATGTTTGGATACTATTTTAACATCATGAAATTAAAAAAAGACTTGTGGTTTTTATATCACTCAAATATGAACTTAACACACAATAACCATACACATTTCTGTCCAAACAGCTTCCAAAGCATTGTGCATGATAGCTGCTTTTTAACTGCAATCGAGCTTCATTTCTTATATCATTTCTATTGATATGCCTGGAGTTGAGGAATAATTTACTAAAAAATATTCACTCAGTATTACTTGATATATTTACCATCTCAGTTATAAAATGTTTTAATACCTTCGTGGTTTAGGAAATAAAACTGACCTGTGCTTGGCCATCCCTATAAAAACATCTTGGCTCTAGCACCGGTTGTCATCTATGACATTTCCAGTCAAAACACATTTATCACACCAATGGGGAAAACCGGAGCACCCACACGAAAACCCACACGAACATGCGGAGAACATGTAAACTCCAGACAAGTCAATATTACAAAGGTTTGCTGGATGCTTACTAGATAGTGCTGTTGGTGTTTGGAACGGAGCATGCTGGTCACCTCCCTCAGATGTACACTGTATTTGTTCTCCTCTGTTCCTCCTGGGAAGGACAGAGCAATGATGCGTTCTGTGATGTAGAGAAGGTCCACCTCATTATTTTCTTCCAATGTTTGCATTAGACTCAAGCGCCTACGGGGGAAGAGAAATAACATTATTAAAAAAAGATGAACTAATTTGTAATATAAATGTTCTTGATTTACAGTTTATTCATTAATTCATTCATTTTCTTGTCGGCTTAGTCCCTTTATTATTCCAGGGTCGCCACAGCAGAATGAACTGCCAACTTATCCACCAAGTTTTTTACGCAGCGGATGCCCTTTCTGCCGCAACCCATCGCTGGGAAACATCCACACACACATTCACACACACACTCATACACTACGGACAATTTAATCTACCCAAATCACCTGTACCACATGTCTTTGGACTGTGGGGGAAACCGGAGCACCCGGAGGAAACCCACACTAAGGCAGGGAGAACATGCAAACTCCACACAGAAACGCCAACTGAGCCGAGGTTCGAACCAGCGACCTTGTTGCTGTGAGGCGACAGCACTACCTACTGTGCCACTGCCTCACCAATTTACAGTTTATCAAGTAGTTTTTTTTGTTAAAAGATTAATGGGGAGTTGAATCTGATATTAGACATACAGTTCAGTTTTGCAAAACATACACACCAAACACATGGCTAGAATCATTACACAATGAGTAATGATTTTTTGTTTACTAATTATTCTTATGCAGTTTCTTATACTGTGGTCTAATTAAGCTAATGCATAAAAATTCAACTTATTGCCAGCATCTAATAAAATTTAATTATATACAGTATAAGACAGCAGTATAAATTAGAATACCTGGATGGTCTTCGTTTTAAGTCCATATTGGGTGATTTTGTTGATGCCTGCTAATAAAGGATGACAGAAAAACAAACAAACAAACAAACAAACAAACAAACAAACAAACAAACAAACAAACAAACAAACATTGCTTCATTGCTTTTTAAAAAGTAATAGTTTATTTATTGTAATTAAATCTTTATCCTTATAGGGATAGCTCACCCAAAATAATAACATTTTTATGAGTTTCTTCATTTTGTTGAACACTAAAGAAGATATTTTAAAGAAAGCTGAAAACCTGTAATCGCTGAATTAAATATAGAAAAAATAAATACTATGGAAATCAATGGTTACATGTTTTTAGCTTTCATGTGATTAGCATTTTTTGTGTTTAAAAGAAGCAAGCAAGCCAAACAGGTTGTAACAAGTAAAGACTGAGTAAATGATGAAATAATTTTTTGCTTTAGGTCAACTATCTCTTTAGCAGGTACAAGTTTTACTAACTATATATAAATTACCAAATAGCTTACCTGATTCTGGTTAGGATTCGTTGTAGGATTGGATTCACAGGCTGTGGCTACCTGCACATGAAGAGAGGAAAAGAGAAAAAACACAAACTTAATATAGCCCTTACTTTATATTTCCTTTATTTGCTCCACAATGTCTTTAGGTTAACTGCTAACAGAGGTACATTATTAGATCTGTTAACTTGAAGCTGTGTAAAAAAAGGTAAACACATTTGAAACCTTACCTAAAAGACTTTAAACTTAAAAGACATTGTTAATATCTTATACTCATGCGTGTTATGCTGTATACTGCTGGTACTGAGAACAGGACCAAGTCAGAAAGCTGAGTTTCCTGCAAAAGTAGAAATTGCAGGAGAATGCTCTCCTCTATTTTAGTCAATTTCACACTTCCCAATTTGATCCACATAGTATTGCACACAACATAAGAGATTATTGCCCATTTTCACAATTTAAATGTATACTTCAATGAAATTTCTGCAATTTTGATGTCTACACAGTAGACATTACCCAACCAAGTTTTGTGATCGGAAAAAAAAAACAAAAAAAGCTGAATACGGTGTAAAAGAAAACCCAAAAAGTATGCAGTGGGAAAATACTCAAACAAACTACTAATGCAAATCTAAAGGTTTCAGATGTGTTTTAAAACTATTAAATATTTAAAGTGTCCTGTTCACTGGTACTGGCAAATTTTATTTATAACATTGATTGACTGAATCTTTTGAATTAATTTCATAAAAATCTCAAGTTCCATTCAGACTCAAAACAGCAGGCTTAAATTAGGTAGTACTGGTATCTGTTTCAAATCCTAATGTCCTTGCATAATTATAAATGTTTATGGCCATGTATCATTTATGTTACACATTACACAATTGAGACTGTTTGTTTTGTGTTTGATGTCATGCATTTTTGTTTCCTGTACTACACTCTTGTTTAGCTATTGTCTTTTTTCTTTCTGGCTGTTTGCATTATGGGCAGCCTCATCTCACAAGGAAACGTAAGTTTTTACGTTTTTTTTTTTTCCAGTTTAATTGTTAATTTATACAAATTCATATGAAAATGAATGATTTAAAAAAGGAGGCGTGGCACCCAACCCCACCCCTAACCCCAACCGTCATTGGGTTATGAGCAAATTGTACTAAATTGTATGTATAAGATCGTATGAATTCATAATAATAAATTCCTTTATTTTCTCAAAATTCTACACACAATATCCCATAATGACAATATAATTGTTTTTTTTAATTGTTGAAAATTTATTCAAAATAAAAACCTGAAAATCACACGGAAATAAGTATTCACAGCCTTTGCCGTGAAGCTCTAAATTGACCTCAAGTATATTCTGTCCACTGATCATTCTTGAGATGTTTCAGCAGCTCAACTGGGGTTCACCTGTGGTAAATTCAGTTGAATGGGCATGATTTGAAAAGGCATACAGTCCAACTAACTGTCTATATAAGATCCCAGGGTTGGCAGTGCATGTCAAAGCACAAACCAAGCACGAAGACAAAGGAATTGTCTCTAGACCTCCGGGACAGGATTGTCTTAAGGTACACGGCTCGGGAAGGTTACAGAAAAATTTCTGCTGCTCTGAAAGTTCTGATGAGCACAGTGGCCTCTATCATCCGTTAATGGAAGGTTTTTGGAACCACCAGGACTCTTCCTAGAGCTGGCCGGCCATCCTAGCTGAGTGACTGGGGGAGAAAGGCCTTAGTCAAGGAGGTGATCAATTACCTGATGGTCACTCTGTCTGAGCTCCAGTGTTCAGACAATAAGAAACTAATTTTTTAAGTCTGATGAGACTAAAATTTAACTCTTTGGAGTGAATGCCAGGCGTTACGTTTTGGAGAAAAGCAGGCACCACTCATCACCAGGCTGATACCATCCTTACAGTGAAGCATGCTGGTGGCAGCATGATGCTGTGGGGATGTTTTTCAGCAGCAGGAACTGGAAGACTAGTCAGGATAGTGGGAAAGATGATTGCAGCAATGTACAGAGACATCCTGGGTGAAAACCTGTTTCAGAGTGCTCTTGACCTCTGACTGGAGTGACGGTTCATCGTCCAGCAGGACAATAACCCAAAGCAAACCGCCAAAATATCATTAGAGTGGCTTCACAACAACTCAGTGAATGTCCTTGAGCGGCCCAGCCAGAGCCCATATCTAAATCCTATTGAACATCTCTGGAGAGATCTGAAAATGGCTGTTCACCGTCGCTTCCCATCCAACATCATAGAGCTTGAGAGGTACTGCAAAAAGGAATGGGCAAAAATTCCCCAAAACAGGTGTGCAACATCAGATTAATAAAGGAATTAAGCCGAAAAGAAAATAAATGAATGAATGAATGAATGAAAGGTGTGCCAAGCTTGTGGCATCATATTTAAAACGACTTCAGGCTGTAATTATTGCCAAAGGTGCATCAACAAAGTATTGAGCAAAGGCTGTAAATACCTATGTACATGTGATTTTTTCAGGTTTTTTATTTTGAATAAATTTGCAAAAATTTCAATTTTTTTTTCTATTGTCATTGTCACATTGAATTTTGAGGAAATAAATGAATTTAATCCATTTTGGAATAAGGCTGTAACATAAAAAAATATGGAAAAAGTGAAGCGCTATGAATACTGTCCAGATGCACTGTAAATTAAACTTCTGAAACACGTCTGAAATGTGAACCAAATGTTTATAGTCTAACCAGTTGTGTCATCTCTAATAATGAACATCTGCCATAGATGTTTTAATTGAATATAAATAACTGAGCACACTGAAATATATATACATATATTTTTAGTCACCATTACACTATGCATGTCCTTGACATTTTTTTTCTCTCAATGAATTGGTGTCCCTTTGTTGCTGAAAATAGAAGCATGTGTAGATATGGCTTGCTATTTACAGTTTTTTTTTTTTTTTTTTTTTACAAGAGACAATACTTATTTTTAGACTTTTGAGCACATCATCATGAACTCTTGGCTGAGAGTGGCATTACTAAAGCACCTCTCTGCATCATCACCGGAAACTGTTATAATTCACAGTCAACCAATCAGAAAGATGAGTAACAGCTTCTCTCAATGGGGGATTAAGTTAAAATGCACTGAGAATATGTTCTGCCTCAGCATAATACAATTACGTAACACTCTTTTAAAAAATGCATGAGTAACTAATTTAAATTGCTAAATGTGGCTGAAAGACTGATGAAGATGCTGTACTATCCCCATGGTCACAGAAAAAAGCTGGCTGAACCAAGCATCACTGAGTGAACTAGTGGATTCAATGATACAGCACAGATTGGCAAAGGTACAGCACAGGCCTGGGATAATAAAAGCAGATGTGCAACATTCTCCCATAGAGGGTCACTGTAAAAGGACTCCTGGGGCATCTCTTACACAGACTGTTTGCTGATGTCTGTGGGGCTGAGTGAAGGGTCATTTACTACAGACCAGAATCCCAGTGTGGCCTGTGAATGACTGTCAAACTGAATTCTTGACCACATGACAAAACAGATAAAACTGAGTGAGTAAATCATCAGAACGAACAGTGAAATATTATATAATCTTAGATTTAGAATGAAAAACATGCCCCTTCATTTTCATCCTGTCTACACGTATATTGCAAATTTAACTGTTTTAGGCTGGTTAGTGGTGGTATTGTGTTTGTCTAGCTGATTATAACATATTCAATAACATTGAGCTGGTTCAGTTAGTTTGGGGACTAGGATTTTTATGTTTGTTTTGTTTGATGGTTATATTATTAACAAATGTTAACTTAAAGAGATAGTTCAACCACAACTACGTACATTCTGTCGTCATTTACTCAACCTTCACTTATCACAAACCAGTTTAAGTTTCTTTTTTATGTTAAATACAGAAGACGAAAACATGTTGTAAACCTAAAACAATTGACTTCCATGGTATTTGTATTTCTTGCTATGGAGGTTATTGGTTACATGTTTGTAACATTTTTCAAAATACCTTGTTTTGTGTCCAACAGAAAAAAGGAAACTCTTAAAAGTTTGGAACAACTTGAGGGTTAGTAAGTAATGAATAAATTATTTTTTTTGGGTGAAATATCCCTTTAAGCAAAAAATCAAGCAAATTTTAATTAATGAAATGTTTCAAGGGTTTAAAGATTCTCTGTTTTAAATAGTCGAAACACAAATCCATTAAAATTAGTTTGTGTCATGTACATTATTTAGCTTTTTAGGTTTCTCTCAAGGTTTTTTCTTCACTTTCTAATAAGTTTTTTTTTCCTCTCTGCTGTCGCCACTAGCTTGCATGGTTTGGGATCAGTAAAGCTACGCTTTGAAGGATTTGCTCTCCAGTGTTTAGACCCTAAGTAGTGATTATTAAACCACACTGAACTGAAGTAAACGTAGACACTAAAAAACTGAACTACACTGTTTCAATTTACAATGATCTTTTATATGAAGCTGCTTTGACACAATCTACATGGTAAAAACGTTATACAAATAAAGGTGATCTGAATTGAATTGAATTATTGTAACACTGCTTTAGTGTGAACTAGACTAGAGTTATAAATATGGACAGGAGCAACTAGAAAAACCATCTAAAACTAGTGAACTGTCAAACCAAAAAAATTAATCATCTTATTTTGGAAACCAGAAAACAAGCAAACATCATCTTATATTGGTCCCAGTATGTAATGTATTATGCCAGCAATGATGAATTATTGCCAAACCTTCATACAATCGTTTCTGCCAAAGCTTGTACTAACTTTTACCAATTTTACTAACTAACTTATATCAGGCTTTTATTGTTTTATTGGAGAGACATGCACAGTGTTCATAGTAAAACAACAACAAAATCTTGAAGTAACCATTATGATGATTAGTGTTTCCATGGTTGATTTTTTTTCTACTAGTTTTAAGTAACATTATAATCAGAATAAATGTCTGCATGAGAGGCACATCTTTAATCAATTATGCTCCAGATGTTTCTCGATTAAGTTAGCCTTGATATATTGCCTTGGCCAAATTTAGCTAGCTTATTACATGGTTTCTTATGGGTACTGGCAAGACATATTGACAATATTTGCTTT